CAATATGTGCCTTGTAAATTTGAGTAATAGTTTTACAAGGCACATATAGGTAACTCATTGATTGTAGAAGGGAGAGACTGGAGGAGAGAATATTAAATTAACACAAAACCTGATTATTTATATGATGGGCAATTGGGATAATATATATGATTATTAATGCTGTGAAGAGTTTCTCCCTACTTTCAGATGGTTAAGTTTGCTAGTGTATTAAAATTTGCTGTCTATTCTGTCTGTGGGTCTTGATTCAGGATTCTCTTTGCGAAGCCTTGGGATGATTGGATGGATATAAGACGTTCTGATTTTGTTTAAATTTTTTTGGTTTGGTATAGTTAATTTTGAAAAAAAGTGGTAGTTGCTAGTGAGATTTTGAGTTTATATTAAAATAATATTTAAATAAAATAATTAAAGTTGATTTGATGTAAAAGTCGAAGAGAGATTGTGTAAAGTGATGGTTAGTTAAAATCATGTGAGTGGATGAAGTTTAAGAGTTCTTTTAAAGCATACCATTGAGGATAGTGGGGTTGAGTTAAAGTTTATTTACATTTGAGTTACAAAAAAGTGATTGTTTAAAAATGAATGGATTTTGTTGGAAAAAATTGTATCCAAGCATGCACTCAGCATTGTTCAGCAATTATTATTGTGTTTTCAAAATTACCTAAATGGTTGAAAATTCGAGCAGCATGCTATGCTTTGGTGTGTTCATATTTGTTGTCTCTTAGTTTCATCCAGTGAATGCCATCATCTTCAAATTCTAGCTTATAGAATTTTTTGCCCATTTCTCTGATTATTTGAACTTTATCCATGAAAATATATGGATTTCTCTTGAAATCTACTCTTAAGCCCCCCTCTCGAAATTTTGATCACCTTATCGACAACCTAAGCTTGAATACTGTATCCTTGTCCAATTGTTCATAGTTAAATCTTTCTAATCTGTCTCTAATTCTAGAAGTCTACAAACTTTAAAATTTAATATGTGAGACTGGATATTTGCAGCTGAAAGATCAGTTGTCGTCTCCATATTCATTGAGTTTGTTCATTCGTACCATTTTTTTCCCCTTGCAGTTTGTGATGCCCAGTTTAGGTTGGAGATGGTTGCTTGCAATTTCTGCTCTTCCATCCTCACTATTGCTTTTATTCTATAGAATGACTCCCGAGTCACCCAGATACTTATGCACCAAGGGAAGAAAAGATGAAGCACTGGCCATACTGGAGAAAATAGCACGACTAAACGGTAAAAAACTTCCTCCGGGCATCCTAGTTTCTGAAAACAGCATCGAGCTAGAAGAAAAGTCAGATCTTTCAGAAAACAGCATCGAGCTAGAAGAAAAGTCAGATCTTTCAGAAGATGCAAAGCTGATTCCACCCAGAGAAAACAACGGCAGCACAAGTCCTAATAAAAGCACAGATTATTCCCCGAAAAGCGGAATCACATTGCTCGCAGTGCTTCTTTCGCCTGAACTGATTAGATCGACATTACTTTTGTGGATGGTCTTTTTCGGTAACGCGTTCGCTTATTACGGGCTCGTTTTGTTGACCACTGAGTTGAACAGCAATCACGGGACGTGCACTCATAAAGAGTCACCTTCCGGTAATGTACATCAAGAAGTTAGTTACAAAGATGTGTTCATTACCAGCTTTGCAGGTAAAATATTAGATTTGTTGTACTTTTTCTTCTTCTTCTTCTTCTTCTTCTTCTTCTTCTTCTTCTTCTTCTTCTTCTTCTTCTTCTTATTGGGACTGATTATTTATTTGGTTCAAGAGTTTCCTGGGCTCGTCCTATCGGCTGCAACGGTCGACAAACTTGGCCGTAAAAAGTCCATGGCTGGAATGTTCTTCCTCTGTTTCATTATTCTGCTCCCACTAACATTTAACCAGCCTCAAAGCTTGACGACAGGCCT